AGCAGCAATGGCCAACTGTTATACCCACTACTAGTACGAATTGGTTTGGCGACTAGAAAGTGTGAAATCTCTGCCTTAGTCATATCTTAGTCATACCTCTGGTAGGGTCTGGAGTTTGGGTTAGAAATAGTTAAATGGAGTGTGGGTTAGAAATAGTTAAATACTGAATGGATGGACAGTACAAGAGGATTCTATAACCAATTAAATGAAATGGTTTTAGTGCCTACAGTGTCCCTTTAATAGTTATGGAAAGGACAATAACAGAGAGAGAAGAATCAAAATGGCATCCTAAGAAGTGGAAAAACAGAGCAGAGTTAAAGGAAAGAACCTTTCATGTCAGGAACATGGCAAAGCTCTCAGGAGTATAAAAAGGTGCTTGTGTTAGAGGATTGACAGGGGACAAAGTTCCTACAAAGAGGAAGAAGGGGAGAGAATAGAAACTGACATGGGAGTGTAAAGAAAATACTATGTAAAAATTACTTAGAAAAAGAGAGTTATGGTAATCTAACATGAAGAGATATAAAATAAAATAAATAATACCAATGTGAGAGCACTTTCAGTGCATTTTATGAGGCCTGTTGTCCTAATAACCAAGATCCATGGACCATGGTATTTCCAATAACCATGATGGATACCTTGACTTCTCTGATCCTCCTATTTGGTGATGGGTAGATAGTAATTTAATGGTCCTCAGGGCTCTGTAGTGCTTATGTTGCCAGGAGTCCCCAGGTGCCATCCATCAGTAATCTCTCAAACTGTTTGCAAGTGGTTTGACACTTACCTTGAGGTTCTCATAGACTGAGCTGGTCTGGTGAAGTTCAAGTTCATACTTCCATATTATCAATGGAACTCACCAAGCAAGGTAAATGTCCAACCATTCGTAAGTGGCTTGACAGACTACTGGTGGACAGCTCCCCGGGACTGCTGACACCATAACTAATACAGCACATGAGCTAAGGGAAGAATGCAAAAGCACCACTAACCTTTAAAAAGCAAATATCAAAATTATTAATTTTGCATGTCAACACGCAGGGTTTTTTTCACTTAACCAAGCACAAGGTAGAACAGGAAAGGGAATTACAGATTCTAGACTGGAATTGCTTGCAGGAATATTTCAGAGCTGTATAATTGACATACATTTGGCCTAGAACAGGGGTAGGCAACCTATGGCACCTGTGTCGTGCACGGCACTCGAGGTGCTTTTGCACGGCACTCAAGGCTGCTAGAGCCAAACAGGCTCTGGCCGATCAGGAGTCCCAGTGAAACTTCAGATATCTGCCAATGCAAAAAGGTGGTGAAGGACAATCTTCAATTTATGCATTGCAGCACGTAGAAGATCAATTCCTCCCAGCACTTGTGAATGGGAATCCACAATGTAGTAGAGCAGCCCTCAGCAGCTGTCGCAGCTCCTGCCCTTGACATGTATATGGCCAGCCAAGTACCCACTAACACTGCTAAATATTCACAGAGCTGCAGAATAAACCTCCCTTCATACAAATAATAGCAGCCAACACAGCAACACAACACAATCTCAACACCACTGAAAATCCATGTACATGCAGTCTCTCACATGCAATACCCCAAACAGCCCCACACATATACACTACGAAGCACACATGGTGATATATATCCATCCACACACACACAATTCCACAAGTAGCCCCCATACAAAGCCGACATTCATAGGTACACAATACCACAAACTACTCAAGAACATATACAATATAATAGCTCATATATGCACAAATAGAACGATACAAAGCAACTGCAGTATAAATAGCACAAGCAGAATACGCAACATGCACACCTCAATTTAAAAAAAAAAAAAATAGGACCGGCACGCAATGGGAGACATCACAATCTTATTTCGGCACAGTGCTGCTAAAAGGTTGCCTACCCCTGGCCTAGAATATGAAATTCCCTAATGCCCTTCCCTTCACCATGAATCCCAGTTTATTTGGTGGAAATAGCTGCTGTTAATTTATGTTCCTCTGGCAGCTAGTAACATATATTGAATATTATGTCAAATATATACACACACATATACACAGAGAGAGTGAGAGAGTGACACACACAAACATATATATTATATATATATATATATATATATATATATATACACACATACACAGAGAGAGAGAGTGAGAGTGAGAGTGAGAGAGAGAGACACACACATATATATATATATATATATATATATATATATATATATATATACACACATTATCCATCAACTGGGTAATAAGGTACCATGTTATTATACAGCCAGCTGTAATACAATTACGGAAAATAATTGTGTATTACATTTTTTATATCTTTATAATTTTTCATTTTATGCGGTTTTAGGTCAAAATCGCAAATTGTTTCTAAATTCACTACATTCTGCTGTTTAGTGAATAACCCGAATTAATCCTTCACGTTTTCACACGTACACTATACACACCTAGATGTCACACAGCTATGCACTATTCATTATTTTCTTGCATTACTTAATGCCAGGTATTCTCCAACTCTCAATTAATAAATAATAACCAACACCTCTCTTCAAAGAGCTTAACACTCCAATTAAACCATCTGAACTTCAACTAAGTAATTTTAATTAAAGGACTTAATAAGAATTGCATTCTAAGCAGTGTGTGCAAGCCAAGAGTACATCGGTCCCTCCCATGCATTTAATAAGTATGAAGGATACATCCCAGTCTGTTTAGTTACTCACAAGGCACCTTCTCTGCAATTTAAAAAAAAAAAAAAAAAAAGTCATTTTTATTAAATCCCATTTGCAGGTCTTTGCTGTTAATAGCCAAGTTGTTGAGAGTTGTATTTACCTTTACAATTCAATGCATAAATCCATGATCAGAGATTGCCTGGGGATTTGGGGTTAGGGAGCAATTTCATGTTTTCTATCTAACAAAAAGTCAAGGGAAGCAAAGGATAAAATGGAAAAAAACAGATCTATATTAACTTCTCATTGACCTAGCAGGTCTGTGGTCCCCAAAGAATCATAAAAGAGTGGTGTTGACTATTTTGCCAATAAATGCTAATTCGTTAGGTCTGCTGTATAGATTTATTCCCTGATGGGTTGACACTTTGCAATGTGTGAGAGGTGCTAAACAGGTCATATTTGTCCACAGCAATATGCCAAATAGGAAGTCCACAGTGATATTGCCAATTTAGGAGATTCCAAATGATGTTTTAATGGAATCATTTATCTTCTCCACAGTTTGGACCTATTTATACCAGATGAAGACAAGAATCTTCTCCTCTGGCTTTTTCAAATCACACGGATTAATTCTGACTCTTCTCTGTCACTGTGTAAGGTAAATATTAATAGGATGCATTTACTAAACAGTGAAGTCATTGTAAGGAATTAAAAAAACTAAATTGCAAAATTAATACCAAACTATCTGGTTTGGGGAAAAATATATATTCTACTTAGATTTACTCAGAACTTCACAATTCAAGCCTGAAGTTTTACAATCAGAATTCACTGCTTAGTAAATTCACCCCATATATGTGTTATACACTGTATGGAACCCTGTTTGAACATCCCTCTGTAATGGAATAGATATACATTTTAGAAGAATAAAAATACATTTAAAAAAAAAAATAGAAACATTAACTGGATACATTGCTGATAGAATGTGAAAGATACATTAGCTGGAAAGCTTAGCAACAAATCAGTTGACTTTCATTTAAAACGTTTAATTGATATGCATCAACAAACAAACATAAAACCAAAAAAATAAAATATTTGGGTAATCTGCCAGAGATTTTTGAGGGTGGGCTACATTGATGTGATGTAATGCAATGCCACAGAAAGAATATATTAACAGAAACAGTTTAACTTTAGACTGATTTAATCAGAGACAGTTCTAATCAAGTCAGAAACTGATTGGGGATCCAGTGATTTTGAAAGGAAAAAAATAAAAATATTTCAGATGATGAGGAGAAAACCAGAAAAAAAAAATAGGTTTATGTTACAAAACCACAAAATATAAACAAGATGTTTATAAGATATTAGGAAACTTAGCAAGATCCCAACAAACTCTTTTATGATGTATTTACTAAAATCATGCAGACTCAGTAATAACCAACCACTTATGAGACTTTTCTTCAAAGGGTTCAAATAGGAAACATGCAGCCAAGATTTTCTTCATTATTAGGTTTTCATTACTGAAATGCTAGATGGAGCATCTACGATTGGAGACAGTGGTAATCTAGACAATAAATCGATATATCGCGACTGGGGTATTTGGTAAATGTAAAATAAAAAAAATAAAAAAGTTATAATAAATAAATTTAGAAAGTACACAGGCTGTGATGACAGGGGAGAATGTGGAACAGACCCTCACAATTATACAATAGTGTTGTGAATACAAAATTATGTTTATATTCAGTAAACGATCAGGTGTTATTCAATGAAGTTTAGAATGAATTCCACCCTATTTCAAATTTTAGGAAAAAAATAAAAGAATTGAGAACAATTCTTCATGTATGTTATTATTTTTAGTTTAACTATTTTGGCCAAAAACTTTTTTTTAAATCCACTTTGAATTCACCTTTCTTACAGAACATCCCTGTTATTGGCTAAAGTGAGAATTGCCGAGTATTGAGAGTGAACTTTAGAATTCAGTTAAAACAGAGCAATTAGAATACCTTTTAAATTAATTTGGCATTCCCAGCAATTGTCCCTTTAGCGAATAGTGTGATCAACTGGATACAGAAATAAATTTAAGCTTAAATTACTATAAAGTGGCTAAATCGAAGTTGAAGGATTTTTACAGATCAGATAATTTAGAAAAGATTTTGCCTAAACTTAAATTATATGGATTTATGCATCGGACTGCTGAAGGTTGCCTATCCATAAACAGTTTGGTGACTTTAGCTAATATTATTGAAAGTGTCTGTCAAGAAGCCGCAAATATAGATTTGCATGTGTATAGTTGATGTATGTTGGTTGAAATAACATCTACTATTATAATAAATCACTCATATAAACACACCTTCACACATACATGTACAATGGTTTTATGTTGTAAATGACCAAGTTATGCGAAATGAATACCTAATTGCAAGATTTCGGTTAAAAGTGGTGGTTTGGGGTGAGGGGGTACTCCTCTATAGTTATAACGTGGCTATTTTTGTTAGTTTACAGGTCACTAAAATTCTGAGTATAGAATTATTAGGTGAGTTGGACAGTGAAGAGTTCACAAATGACAAAAAAAAAATACATTTAAAAAAAAAAAAGTCTAAATATTTGAATTTGGAGACAGCCAACAGAATGTTGGTTAAAATAACTTAATAAGAATAACTTCTTCAGATCAATAGGAATTGAGATAGTTTCAGACTAACGAGTTTTACTTTAAGGCCCACATTTTGCATGTCTGTTTTTTAAATCATTACATTTCCATTTTAGTAAATAAACTGAGGGAGGGGGGAGACTCACTTGTCCATTTTGTCAGGTATATTCACAAAGGTACAATCTGTCTGAAAGTCACCAACGAAATTGTTCATTTTGAGTGAGAGACAAACTAAAAGCATGGTCAAAAGTGAGTATTCAGAGTAAATTTCACATTTAAGGCAAACATAGTCAAGCAAAAAGCATAGCTGACAAATTTGACTATTTTGAATTTCAATTTGAAATTCACTCACTTTATAGAATCACCCATATATTCTTAGTAATGTTCCTGTTTCAGCTATTTGGTGATTGAATTTACCATCCCTTGGTACCTTTCAGACCATTCACAATTTAGTAAACAACCATGACTGTTTAATATATATATATATATATATATATTTTAAATAGGCCAGGCTAGCCTCCCCCTAGCCAATAAAAAAATATATATTAGCATTATTTGATGATAGGCAAACGAATTTTATGAACAGAGCAATTAACTTGTATATCTTATTCATCTTTATATTGGAGTTAATTCTATGCTATTAACGTGTCACTATAGTCAGGAGAGAAGTATGTGTGATGATGGATGCTATAGAATATGTTATTGATTCAATATGCAGAATGATTACAAAGGGCAGTGTATATTTGATACAGAAACATAGTGACACCATATTAAACCGCAAGCATGTTTTAATTTAATTACAAATAAGAGATATATGAAATTATAACTCTTTAATAAAATATATAACATTTTACAAGATTTCCCTTTCAAAGGGATAATGATACCAAAATGAACAGGGATGAACAGAGGTATTAAATGGTTCAGATATTTTAGATTTAGAAACCGGATGGATGTTGCTCACAGATTTCAACCTGTATATTAAATTCTTATAAAAAAAATTAAAAAAATTTCTGTCGTCGAAAAATAGCTAACCAAACATGTCTTAATTGTCCTCAGATTACCTTACAGAATAAAGTATTAAATAAAAAAAATGTAAAAAAAAAAAAAAAAAAAAAAAAAAAAAAAAAAAAAAAAAAAAAAAAAAAAAAAAAAAAAAACACGGTCAAATTAGGTAAATAACAGTTCAGGCTAAAATAATCGAGCTGAAAAAATAATGGTCACCAGTTCTGCTATTTTGTCCTAAATGATGCAAGCTGTTTCACTAGTAAGCATTCTTCTTTGTTTAGTGAATTAACCCCTGATATTAATTTTGCAAACTACAATGGCTTTTTTTTAGTATTTATTTTTACATTCCTTTAACAGCAAATCTTAATAATGAATTAGATTTAATTTTTTTTTTCTAAATACTTTAAAATAACCTTCTATCCGAGGTGGCAGAGTATTTCCAAAACAAATATAGCATATGTAGTTAAGTATTGTGTGTAAAATAATATATACTTATGTAATACAAGGGACCAATGGCTAGAAATGAAAATAAGTCGTAAAGCCATAATAGTTGGATTGGTAAAGCTATAACAAATAGCAAAAAAAAAAAAAATATATATATATCAAATCATACATTTAGTTTAGCTCCAATCGTATTACCTTTACTCTACCATCCTATTAAACAACTAATTTTGATGTTTTCAAATGGGATTTAAAAAAAAATAATAATAATTTAAGCGTTTTTTCCAAATAGCCTCTTGTTACATCTGTTTATACTTCAAAAATATCTGACATCCTAGTTTATACTCAGCTGTCCTCTCCTGTGCACTGAATAGTGTAGTGAGTTATACTGGGTTGGCATGCCCAATTTAGACAACACTAGCCACGTTACAAATAGCCAAAGTGGATATTCAACTCCAAATTTTGCAAGTCAATCTTCAACTCACTGCGGAGTGAAAAAGTCCCTGTTGAAAATGTGCCACCTATATGGCCTTCAGAAGAAGTGGGGGCAATAAAGAGACACTTTCTTTGGTTTGTTTGTTTGTTGAAAATTTCTATGTACATTTAATCTTACATCAAATGCTTCTCTCTGTATTTTGCCTAAATAAAAGGCAGATATGATTATATAGAAGTACACATCCGAATTCAGAATGACATTCTTCAGCAAAAAAGCTGAACACGTAATACTACAAATTATTAAAGAAAAATTAATATTATTTACTTACACCTTATCTATCTGACCTTGAAAATAACCCCTAAAATCCGACGTGGCCCTGTTTATAGCACTAAAACAGAACTGCACATTGCATCTGACAGATGTTGGTGATCAAAGAGTCTAATGAAACATTGTGCAGGTAAATCCAGGGTACCATCACCACTGTTCCTGTCTATAGAATCACGTGATGAGAGTGTTTGGGGTGCTCAGACAGTATTTTGGTGCATATGACATACTGCCCACTGAGTGTTTATGAGTATTTAGAATTATTATGCTAGTATTGTTCTCAAGATAAGTGATACATGCTGTATCCAACAGGGGTAGCATATAGTCCTACAGGTGGGATCTGAAGTACTGGTCTGTGGAATTGATATGAAGATCCATACAATGATGTTGCTTGGAGGGGAGAGTTGATGGGGAATGGTAAACTAAACCCATGAGGCAACATGGGTTTGGCTGCCATTTTAAGCTTCTCCAGTTCAGCTTCCTGTAGTCTTTTGGCCTTGGCTCTTCTGTTTTGGAACCAGATTTTGACCTGGGTCTCTGTGAGGTTGAGAGAGTTGGAGAATTCAGCTCTTTCAGCTATGGAGAGATACTGTTTCTGTCGGAATTTTCTTTCCAAAGCAAGAAGCTGGGATGTGGTGAAGGGGGTTCTGGGTTTTCTGTTAGTCTTGTGCTTTCTCAAGGTGCACGTTGAAGGACTCAAGTGCCCTGAAAAAAACCGAAAAAATATATATATATTTATTACCAACTATAAAGTATTAATAAAGAATTGATACAATTTTGGTAAATAATTATGAAACCAAAAAAATACAAAAGAGCAACATTTAAAAAATTGTAATTAACAGTATCACTAACTACAGAAAGGTAATAAACACAATCACAATACTACTTTGGAGATAGATAGATAGCTGTGTATCTATATAGATCTGTTTAGACACACACACACACACATTTTATAGATATGTGTTAACGTGTATAGATAGACAAGCACTCAGGCAGACAGACCATCAGAAAAGAAGAAAAAAAAAGGACAAAAAAAACCCAACAACTGTAAAACGGTATATCTTTAGATATAGATATCTACAAATATTGTATTTCATACAAGCATTTACCCCTCATTCACCCGTCACATTTATAACAAGATTTAGTGACCAATATTGCCAGAGATAGATAATTCTGCATTGTATTGCAAATCCTCCTGGCAACGAAGACGTTAAATTCTCCATACTTATATTATTGCTGGAGCAATGCACGTATTTGGTCTGGTTTAAATTATTTGGATTTTAATAGATTAGTTCGTAGGATATTAAACTGGTGGCCCTGTAGGTTAATTCTACATAATTATATTTTTACTGGATCAATTTGGTGTGAAATAGGTCTATGAAATGTAAGGTTTTCAAATATTTTACTTTAAATCGATTAGATCATGCCATAATAAAATGGCTTTAAAGCTATTGACCCAATAAGACTTACAAATTTGTATTGCATATACACAATATATAAATAATAAAAAAACGGACAAATTTGTAATATACACACACACACAAACTTGTAAGTCTTATAATGTCAATCCTTAGCTATTGTATATATATATATTGTATATGCAATACAAATTTGTAAGTCTTATTGGGTCAATAGCTTTAAAGCCATTTTATTATGGCATGATCTAATCGATTTAAAGTAAAATATTTGAAAACCTTACATTTCATAGACCTATTTCACACCAAATTGATCCAGTAAAAATATAATTATGTAGAATATATATATATACACACACAAACTTGTAAGTCTTATAATGTCAGTACTTAGCTATTGTATATATATAGCTAAGTATTGACATTATAAGACTTACAAGTTTGTGTGTGTGTATATTATATATATATGTATACACACACACACAGTTTTGTTTTTAATTTAAACTTAACACTTTAAAAAATGTTACAATGTATGATACATATTATGTATTGACTGCTTCAGGCACGTGCTGAAACTATAACTCAACACCGACGTGTGAATCTAATTGGTTAATGTGTAACAGAACTGCTGATCAAAATAGCAAACAATGAGAACAAGAAAAGAAAGCGTAAAAAAACAAGAAACAAACTAAAATAGTTGTTTTCTTCTTTATTACTCTACGTGCCATATGTGTATGTTTTGTAATATAACAACTTTAAAAGATGCCTTACTATTTTAAATACACACACATTTCCTAAAACTTTATAGTTTTACGGTTTATTGTACTAATATAATAATGACAGTTCAACTATACCCTAAAATAAATATAAAACATGCCAACGAAATACATCAGAAGTTATCAGAAAAAAAAGTTGGATTGAAACAAATAAAAAAAAGCAGAAAATGACTATTCTATGGCAACAGAAGAGCTGGCATACGTACAGTTTGATATATTGTACTGATAAGGTAAGATTAAAAGACATACTTTCACAAAGTCTAAGCTTTTATTTCTATATTTCAGATAAAATGCATACCTTATTTTTATTAACTAGCTCATAGAAGGCAGGTAGAGTCCATTGAAATGAATGTTTACTTTTTTAATTGTAAAATTATTCATGTAGAAAAAGATGGATATAGATTTATTATATCGAGAATATAAAATATTTAGAATAGATAACACGTATTTAAAAAGGCTGATTGAACACTGATTAAGAATGATGATGAAATGATATAATACAAGGATATG